AAAAAAAAAAAAAAAAAAAAAAGCTATTCCTTAATTGAGGTTCGCGCTTCCAAATTGACTCTGAATTGTGTCAAGTTGACAGCTTAAGCTAACTAGGACACTAATTGTCTTAGTTACTTTTCTATTGCTGTGATAAAAAAAAATCATGACCAAGTAAGAGTGATCACTAATAACCATTTAAAAGGGTCATTATTAGACTGTCTTGAAATCTCCACCAAAGAAATTAGTCCATTGCTTTTTTTTATTAAGTTTATAGAAGTTTATTTGGGGCTTACAGTTACAGAAGGATAGAAATCCATCACAATCATGGCGGTGGTCATGGCAGGAGTCAGGCAGGCGTGGTGCTGGAGCAGCAGCTGAGAGCTCACATCCTAGTGCACAGACATGGAGCAGAAACACACCGGGAAATGGTCCAGTCCTTTTGAAACCTCAAAGCCTGTCACCCCAGTGACACCTTCCTCAAATAAGACCACATTTCTTAAATCTTTCCCAAAACAGTCACCAACTAGAGACCCAAATATTCGAAAGCCAGAGGCTTACGGAAGACATTTCATTCAAACCACCACAGTCATGGTGTTTTACCACGGCAATAGTAAAGTAACAGACAGTAAGTGGTACCAGGAGTGGGGTGCTGCTGGGAAGAAACTGACCGTGTTGTTTTGTGGAGGACTTTGACATTTTGGAGTAGAAAAGTGGATGAACACTGTAAGCAGAGATTAATGGACCATCCTAGTAGGAGACAGGAAGGTACTAGTGATGAGGGCTCTGTGGACTGTAGAGGCTGGGATCAAAAGGTTTCACAGGGGAATGAAGCAACTGAGCTTACATTCTTGCAAAGGATGTAGCTGGTTTCTGCCCTGGTCCTAAGAATTTGCTGGGGTTAATAAAAAAGCAATGGACTAATTTCTTTGGTGGAGATTTCAAGACAGTCTAATAATGACCCTTTTAAATGGTTATTAGTGATCACTCTAACGCAGGTGTATATTGAAAAAAAGCAGCTGGGAATTTTTAGATGAAATAAATGCTTTCCTCCCCAAGTTGCTTCTAGTCATGGAATTTTATGATATCGATAGACACCTAACTAGAACACTTTTGTACCTGGGATCTGGGAGTCTAAGCTCAGGTCCTCGTACATGCAAACACAAGCCCTTTACCCACTGGGTCATCGTCACAGCCTCATGTCTCAGTCTTGATCAGAGCCAAGGGCTTGCCATAGTTTCACTGGGGACGCAGGCACCACAGCAGGTACAGGGAAGATGGTCATGTTGGATTTCAAGATAAAAGCCAAAGTCAGGCCACACGAGGAAACACAGGTTAGAACTGTAAGAAACACCTCACATTCGTTATAAGTGTGAGTTTTAATTTCTACTTTTATTAGCATATTGATGGTGTGCAACGTGTGTGCATGGCTGTCCATGCCAAGATGTGTGTGCGTAGGTCAGATGACAACCTTCCAGGTGATTCTATGCTTACACTTTCACATAGGTTCTGGGAATGGAACTCAGGTTACACCTCTAGCTCCTGGGCAAATGTGTTGGTCCTTGAGCTAATTCTCGGTCCTTACATCTTTTACCGAGGTGAGACTTTTCCACAACCCCCACGGTCCCCTATGCCAACCAGTGCAAAAGATTGCAGGCCAAAGGCCAAGAAGCCCTGGTGTACATGTCTTGAGTATTTCAGTTCTCAAGGACTGTTTCCCAAAGTTCATAAGGAAGAAATTACAGGGTACTGGTGCACTCCTAAAAGATCTTATTTCCTAGGCCATGGGTCACAAAAGCATAAATTATATGACCACACTGGAGGAAAAAATTAAGGTTGTTTTTGTTTTTGGTGTTGTTTTAGAGGTCGGCATTATCCCCTCAGTATGTTTTGCACATCTTATTTTGGGGAAAAAAAAGTATACTAGGTGTGGAGGTTATTCACTTAACCCAGGGCCCTTTCCAAGTGTAGTCAATAAAAAAAGAGCTATGGTGTTGGCTTTGCACCTGTCAGAACAAGAGAGCCAGCTCTAGAAGCATGTATGGCAGAATGGAGTACAGTCTTGTTCCCTCACAGCTTGAGCCAGGGCAAGCTGCTGCTTGTGGAGAGACTGGAAGGTAGGAAGCTCTGCAGTGGACCTGCAGCAGTGGCCACACTCTGGGATGAGGCTGAATGGCTTGTGGAATATGACTGTGGATAGTGTAGGGCTAGATGAGGTAGTGTCTCTGACACATTCTACTTACCTAGTACTGAGAGGCGGCAAAGGAGGCTGGCTGCTGGGGACTGACTTTGCAACTAATCTAGCCAATTGGTAAGCACCGGCTGGAGACCAGTAGAGGAAGACAGACTCAACCTTTGGCGTCCACATACACATGCAGGAGTACACACACACACACACACACACACCAAACACACTATTTATACACACACTTCGTAGACACACACAATGCATAAACACAAATGCATAAAGAACTAATATAAAAAATATACATGAAAAATGGTCAATACCACCAATTATGTATTACTCACAATAAAATATCACCCTACTGCAAATGGAATGGCTAATATAAAAATGCAAAAACATGGCCAGGTGGTGGTGGTGCATGCCTTTAATCCCAGCACTCGGGAGGCAGAGGCAGGTGGATCTCTGTGAGTTCGAGGCCAGCCTGGGCTACAGAGTGAGTTCCAGGACAAGCTCCAAGCTACACAGAGAAACCCTGTCTCAAAACAAAACAAAACAAAACGAAATGTGAAGAAAAAGGATTATTTATACAATGTTGATGGAGATGTAAATTAGGACAGCCATTGCAGAAAATAGTATAAACATTCTTCAACAAACAAAAATACCAGATGATCCAGTAAGCACATTCCTGGGTATATTCTGAAAGGGAGTGAAAGCACCATGTTGAATAGATGTGTGCACTCCCACACACTGCAGTGCTACTTACAATACCTAAGACATGGGAACAAAGTATCCATCAACAGATGAATCAGAAAGGACACATATTACATGAACAAAATGGAATACTATTCATTAAAACTTAAATTCCTTGGTTTGCAACATGAATGGCCTCAAAGAATAACACATAGAGAGAACACCATATGTTGACAAATAAGAAACTCTGTGTGTGTGTGCGCGTGTGCGTGTGCGTGCGTACATGCCAGATAGAGACACAGACAGAGAGAGACAGGGACCAAGTCTACACATAGCCCTTGGTGTCTTGGAATGCTATGTGAACCAGGCCAGCCTCCACCTCATAGAGATCTGCCTGTCTTTGCCCCTGGGGTGCTAGGGTTAAAGATATGACAACTTACCCAACACATTTTTAAAAAATTATTGTTCACAAAATAGAAAGTAGAACAGCTGTTTCCTCAGTGAAGAGCGAAAGACAAGGGAATGATGGTCAGAGGGCTTGATAGTTACATTTAGAGAGGAAAAATACTTTCTCCTGCTCTCTGGCATGAGTGGTTCTCAACCTTCCTAATGCTGCAACCTTTAACACAGGTCCTTATTGTTACCAGCCACAGCAGAAATACGAAGTAGAAATCCAGCTGTATGTGACAAAGCTATACCTGGAAAAAAAGCAAGGAATTCTTTCCAGAGGAGAAAAGCCAAATCTCAGGGAGAATTTGGTGTTATTCAGCTTTTAATGTATCAGCTGTTTCCTGCTATCAATTTCATATGTGCTCATAACTTCCCCCCAAGAACTTTTAACAGTGTATTTAACTGAAATACTCCTCAAGCATCCTAGGCCATAACAGCAAACAGTCTCCTGAATTAAGGTAAACACCCTTCTGAGACACTGCCTGACCCTAACTGCATGGCTTTGTTTCTTGTGCAAATGAAGCTCAGACCCTCCTTCCTATCACAGGCTGAGAGTCATTCCAGAGCATTTGACTCAGAACAAAGGAGTTTTTGCATACCAGGTGCAGGGAAGCCTTTGAGGCAGGATTCAGAGCAGAGTTGCTTGGCCCAAGGAGAAAGCAGCGAGGAGAGTTT